AGAATACGCTCAGGGACGGCAAGGATGATTTGGCTTTGCCGAGCCCACCCTCTTGCCCAGATCGACCCCTCCCCAATATCCAGTCCTTTGCCGAGCCCACCCCTCCTGCCCAGGTCGGCCCCTTCCCAATATCCAGTCCGATTTCCCCCGCCCCGATCCACTCGGTAACAGAGGCTTTGAGCCCTACTTTTGCATATATATATACTTTTCTGCCAATCCTTCCCCTCCACGCAGCCGCCATAGCGATCATCGGGAGAGACTTGGAATGCCAAAATCTGCAAGACAATCAGCTGGAGAGACTGGGGATGTGAGAATCTGCACGACAACCAGCGGAAGTGAGGAACGGGCAGGAGAGAGACGGGTACAGGGTTTCCTGGACTCAAGAAGAAGAGGAGGAGGAGGAGGAGGAGGAGGAGGAGGAGGAGGAGAAGAAGAAGAAGAAGAAGAAGAAGAAGAAGAAGAAGAAGAAAGTAGACGCAGAAGCAGAAGCAGAAGCAGAAGCAGAAGCAGAAGAAGCAGCAGCAGAAGCAGCAGCAGAAGCAGAAGCAGAAGCAGCAGCAGAAGCAGCAGCAGAAGTAGGAAGAAGAAGAAGAAGAAGAAGAAGAAGAAGAAGAAGAAGAAGAAGAAGAAGAAGAAGAAAGTAGACGCAGAAGCAGAAGCAGAAGCAGAAGCAGAAGCAGAAGAAGAAGAAGCAGAAGCAGAAGCAGAAGCAGCAGCAGAAGCAGCAGCAGAAGTAGGAAGAAGAAGAAGAAGAAGAAGAAGAAGAAGAAGAAGAAGAAGAAGAAGAAAGTAGACACAGCAGTAGCAGCAGAAGCAGAAGCAGAAGCAGAAGCAGAAGAAGGAGAAGAAAAAGAAGAAGAAGAAGAAGAAGAAGAAGAAGAAGAAGAAGAAGAAGAAGAAGAAGAAAGTAGACGCAGCAGCAGCAGCAGCAGCAGCAGAAGAAGAAGAAATTAGCCGCAGCAGTAGCAGCAACAGCAGAAGAAGAAATTAGCGGCAGCAGCAGCAGAATAAGAAGTCGAAGCAACAGTACCAGCAGCAGCAGCAGCAACAGCAACAGCAACAGCAACAGCAGTCACAGCATCAGAAGAAGTAGAAAGTAGACGCAGAAGCAGAAGCAAAAGAAGAAATTAAACTTAGAAGAAGAAGAAGAAGAAGAAGAAGAAGAAGAAGAAGAAGAAGAAGAAGAAGAAAGTAAAAGACTGCAAGGGAAACATGTGCCACGGTGTCTTGGAAGACTTTCTTCTAACATCGAAACGGTTCAAACGGGCACATCACGGGAGTAGCGAACTCCTCCGTTCTCTTCTTCCCCCGAGTACAACGTACGGTCATTATAGCCGTATTTGGGGCATCTTTCCGTCTAGATACAGATATAATGACCGTACGTTTTATTCGGGGCAAGAAGGTAGTTCCCCTGCAAGGCGCAGCCACAATACTCTGGAACACATTTTTTGCACAGATTTTATAAACTGGATTGACCACCTTCATTTTCCATGTGAGTCATGTAGACAAACTACCGGCCCGCCCGAACAGCCCAGAAGCAGAGAGTTATCCAACTTAGCCAAGCAAGCAGGGACCTCGCCCGAACCCCGAACATCCCTGAAGAAGAGATATCCCCCGGGACCCCCCCCCCGCAAGTACGGAAATCGTGAATTTGTGAATTTGGGAATTTGTGAATTTGTGAAAGCACGAATCAAATGGCGCGCAGTGCTTTGCCCCTGCTTCTCTACCGTAGCTCTCGACGACTTAACTTTCCGAGAGTTGTGATGCTCTCATACCGTCTTCACCCGGATAGAATGCCCGGTCGTTATAGCTGTGCATTTAGCACAACTTTCAGTCCAGATGCAGCGATAATGAGCGGGCGCTTTTTTCGGGTGAAGACGGTAGTTTGATGTAAAAAAGGTTTTGTATTGCATTTGGAAAGATGAAACTTCCAGCATTGTAATACTCGAACTTTTTTTTTTTCTTCTTAAAAAAAAAAAAAGAAACATAAACCGCGACCTCTACTAAAGGGGGTGGTATGAGCAACCCCCACTAGTAGTAGCTGTCCCTGTTGGTTCCATCAATTGGTGGGGAGCTGCACCTGCTGGAGTCGGAAAACAGGTCCAGCGTCCCTGGACATCAGAAACAATCGAACTTCAGCACAAGTTATTAAAAGAAAAAAAAAAGGAACTCGACCTTCGACTGTCGATGAAAGGAACTTAATAATAGCCGACCGTTTGCGGTCGAGCAAACAGGGAATGCAAACGAAGCAAGGGCAACTCTCTCTCTCTCTCTCTCTCTCTCTCTCTCTCTCTCTCTCTCTCTCTCTCTCTCTCTCTCTCTCTCTCTCTCTCCCCCACCCCTTGGAAGCTACGAATGCAGGAAGCGAAGGCACCTCTCTCACTCTCTCTCCCTCTCCCTCTCTCCCACACACCCCTTGGAAGGTACGAATGCAGGAAGCAAGGGCATCTCTCTCTCTCTCTCTCTCTCTCTCTCTCTCTCTCTCTCTCTCTCTCTCTCTCTCTCTCTCTCTCTCTC